TGTCAAAACAATGCAGAACATGGTGTGTTTGCTCTTTAGATGGTTTCAAGTGAGGCTGCATCACTTGCTCTGTATAGCAAAGGCCACAAACTGTTAATCCAATCTTGTGGATGAAATGGTGAGATTTGATACAGATGCTCGAGGGCAATCTATTATACATTAAATCTATTTTGAATTGCTCGATTACTGAATACTGAAAGTGTGTGTGGCCTATAAAGAAATTACCATCTAACCAAGACTCAGCTTCTGTTGGCAAATCAGAACTGAATTTGGCACTCTTGTCCTCAGAAAGGCTTTTAAATAGGCCTCCCAAATTTGATGTGATGGTCCAATCTTAGATTTCTTATTAGTTGGTCAGTTTGCACCAAATATTGTAGAATGCTATATGTATATATTCAATGTAAATACTATACTAACAATAAACCAGCTAATACCTAAGAGAGCTGTGGGTCAATGAATTTCACTCAGGACACAAGTGTTCCAGTTCTAGCATATTCCATTTATACACAGGCACCATAAAGCCATCTATGCTTCAACCATCGTGCTTGTCACATAGTCGAACACCATCCTTCACTCACACCTTTATACTGCTGGAATTGGAGGGGCTGTGTCCAGCAATCTCTGCTTTTCTGTAACTTTCCAAAAACAACATTCGGGCAAACACAACCAGTTTGACACAACAATTGGCCAGGTGCGCAGGATAAGAAAGAAAGAGCTTTCTTTGTTTTTTCTTCACAATATTGCTTCTGTCACTTATGGGTTATGGTTCCATTTTTGCCTTCAGACATGGTCTGACAACTCATCACTGCATTACACTTATTTTTTATTCTAAGCAACTTACATTGCATACATAGAAGCCAACAATTGCAAGAATCATGCAAGTTGATCAAACTTCCTGAAATATGAAGTGCTGCATTAAGAAACAATGAGAGAAAGATTTTACTAAGATATTACTGTAGCTATTTATTTATTTCCACCTTAAATCTTAATAGAAGAAGGCGTGATAATAACTTTAACTTAATTACTATAACATACAATGGCTTTACAGGCCTAACCCACCACACCAGCAGCTCTCAAACTCCAGCTCTTTAAGAAAATAAAAGATTAGATTTCTGATTGTGTTCCAAGCCCTCATATGTTGACCTTGTCTTAACTTATTAGCAAGTATCGTGCCCTTAATCCATGCCAATTTACTCCTTACATTATTTTACCATTTCATTTCTATTTGTTCCTCTAAACAGATTGTCCTCACAGTTCATCCCCTTGCTCTTCCAACCCTCTGTCCTTTACGAGCATTTACCAGCACATCACTCCCTTCCCCAAAGGCTCAGCCCTCATCCTAGCATCCATTTCCCGGTGCTCCCTTTTCATCACGGGCCGACGCTGAGGAACATTGTCCTTGATTGCTTGGCAGATGCCATTATCCTGGGCTTATATCTTCACAATCACATTAGCCATTTGCACAGCTGGGTACTTACTGAAGCGAGGCAGGTTAAGCACCACACTCGAGGGGACAAAATGATGGAGGCCCACCTGGAGCTTAGGCCAGGACTCTCCTCAGCATCATGCCATTACCAAACACACTGTTGGCCTTTCTTCCATTTAGGTAATGCCTCCATATCTGCCTCTCCATCTTCTCTCTCTACACTCTTCTTTTCTCAGTTTATACTTTACTCTTCTTTTACCTTCCCTACCTGCCCCATGATTCCTGCACTGTAATTTCTACCTACGTCTAACCTCAATCTATCCGTGCCCCCAGGCTTTCTCTATTTCTTCCTCTCACACTCTAGAACTTTTTTGTCCCTCACTCTTTTTTTATCAATCCCTCACTTGTATGGGCATGTTGGAGTTAAGGGGACTGCAAAATGCAGATTTGCACCAAATGAAAGAAGTAAGGAAAGGAGGATGAGGAAGGTTGGTAAGGTGACTGTGTCAGCACAGTTTGCTAACACAAAGCTGAGCCAGAGATACATTTTTACACACTCTTACTTTCACACAGAAGTATTTATTTGTCTGTGTCTCCAAGTTCAAAAGGCTTCCGTTGGTGTTGTTATTTTTGTCACAGTTACTTTATATTCAATGTTTGACATTTCACTAGATTAACTGATTAATCAAATAAATTGTTGTTTACTGACACCGCCACTGGACATTAAACTCAATCAAGACAGCATCATTTTAATCCATTAGCATTAAAACTGAGATTACTCCAAAATGAGGTATAGGGAAGAGAGGAACAGATAGAGGTATAGGAAATTAGAGATAGCACAGATGGAAGCCAGGAGGAAGAATGAAGAAATCCCGAAACCAACACATTTTATAGTAGAATATTGCTTACACTGGGAATGAAGTTGGTAGGAAATCAATATGAAGTCAACAAGGATATATGAAAGTGTTGAGGCTGATTGATGATAACAAATTATCTGAATAATCAATATGCCCATAGCTGCTGTTCATGAATTAATCACAAACAGAGCCAGAGTCAAGGTAAGGAGACATGGTTACTGTTACTATAGTGTGTACCAATACTTATAGAAAAATACCAACCATGCAGCTGCAGAGGCTGCAGGAGGCAATAAGCATTTATAAACAGAGCATCACATGGTACAAAGTCGAAAGAACAAACGTGTTCAATAACTTATGACACTGGGAAGCTTTACTCAGACACATGTTCAAAATACACAATCATACACACAAAGCACATCATAAATATGCATTTGTGCCTCTGCTGGATGAGACGGGTCCAAGAAACATATTAAATGTCACTCTCTATATTTCCATCTCACTTTTATTGGCGCTGCGTGGTCGGTGCACGCAACAGGAAGCGAGAGATCATCAGTTTATGAAGAAATGGAAGAATATGCTCCCTGTGTGCAGCACTTTCCTCCTGAGTGCGAGGCGACAAAAGGATGACAAATGTTAGAGTGGATGGAGGCGAGTGATCCAGTGGAGCCGCACAGATAGGTGGTGGGACAGTGAGAGGGAGAGTTGGGAGGAAAAAAGTGATGGTACTTGCTCTTTCATCCGCCCCTTTACTCCAGTCGCCACGGCAACATGCCTGGAGGGCACTCAAGAGAGGCGTCATCACTGACAAAACAACAGAGAGGCAGAGAGTGAGTGAGAGCAAACGAGAGCAAACTAGACAGACAGCGTGTATGAATGAGAGCTGAGAGAAGAAGTAGGTAGCAGATCTACAGCTGACTCCAGATACTTCTCCCCACTCAAAGAAGTGTGAATTTGACCTTCAGGGACTCGGCTAAGAAGTGTGATGAACATTCATTCATCATTGGAGGTCATTCAGATTAATCTTTGGATCGCTCAGCTAAAGTTTCACCAACAGCGTCTACGTACACGTTTATGGGTGTGAATATCACTGATATCCCCTCCAAAAAGGACACTATTATGAGATATGAAATTGGCAAAGTTAATCAAACCGAGGCTAATGCTTAATATTTGGAATTAACTGAGCCATTAATACTGCAGGCTGCCTTTAGGATAGATAGAGTGGTTAAACCACCACCGGCTAAATTAAACAGGTTAATTAAAGTCTCAAATTTTCATACACTTCCCCTCGGTCTGTATTTCACACACACATGTATGCACACACATACACGCACACATAATTACTTACACACATGTTACTTATGATGGCCTTCCATTGGCTGTATTAATTTTCTAATCTGAATCCTAATTCTAACCTTAAAGCCAGTGGAACAGTGTCTCCAAAATAACCTCAAATCCAAAGACCTAAAGAATGATCTCTTTCACAAAAAAGAAGCAAACAAAATAAATCACACCAAAAGTCATACATTTGCATGTATATTTCTAATATGGAATCCAGATTAAGCCTTGACCACCACACACAGATGAGCACAGGTGGCACCAGGGGTGGGTTTATGAGGGTTAAGCTCCTGATGTTTTCAGCAAAGCCCAGAATCATTTGCTGTTCCTCATGCGTCATCTCGCCACACCAGAAGATCAGCGATTTGCCCGCCTAACAATTGTCTGGGGATTTCTTAATGCAAGGTAGCAGCTTGAGCTGTGGCGAGAATGGCTGCTAACAAACTTTACGCCCCTTACTTCAAGGACACGCCTTTCTTCATACGATGCTCCCCCCACTCTCCTCTGTAGTGATATAAACTGGAGATAAAGCTAATCACTTTTTAACATGGAGAGATTAAAATGTCGAAAATGGATCTCCCAAGCAATGCTATATGGTATGATTAACACTGTGTTAAGAAGCAAGTCCTGGACCTGAAAATGTGTCTGAAAGCTGAATGGTGGTCGACGTCAGATTAGGTGATTATAGAGCGTTGTTGTTGTGATTTGGTCAAGAGAATAGATAGATGATAGACTACACATTGGACCCTGATCCATCATCATGTATTCTGATCCCAGTATTAGACAACTCTCTCCACCAACCATGTTCGCTTTTCCTTTAATTTGTCACCCATTTGTATATCAAACAGCTTCCACTTTTTCTGGTTGTCAACAGGAATTTAAACAGTGTGCTTGTAATTAACAATGATAATGATTCAATGTGTGATAATGAGTCATTTCACAGCTGGTGAGGCTTTTTTTTTTGTTAATCCCAAAGTCAAATCTGAGCCTAATCTATAACAAATAAAAACAGTAGACCTTTTCTACAGGTGACATATGCTGTATCTTCAACAACGTTAAAGTTACTGTCCATTCTATTATCCTAAATCCTTCCTTCCCTTCTAACAACCCTTACTTTCTTATCCCAACCGACACTTGCTGCTTATGATTATTAAGCTATTTAAAACTTAACATTAAATCTTTTTTTCTTACTGTTTTAATTTGCAGGATTGTCTCCACACAGTTATTGATACACACACAAAGTCACGCACGCACGCACGCACACGCACGCACACACACACACACACACACACACACACACACACACACACACACACACACACACACACACGGCGCATGTTTTGAGGGGGCGGGGCCGCAGGATAGATGGACGTGTGAGCGCATCTCCTCCATCAGAGGGCGGGCTTGTAGCGTTGTGTGCGCAGCGTGTGGTTGCTGCTGCTGCTGATGATGAGAGGAGCGGCAGGTACACAAACCTTTCAACGGAGATCGAGCGGCTTCCAAGCTGTGTAAAGAACAATAAACACCGCCGACCTCAGCTGTCAGCCGTGAATGTGGTACCTTTCTCTTGCCTTACCATTAGCCTACCTGTGTGGTTTCTCTCTAATGAAAGCAGAATTTTGCCAAACAAATGAAGGAGTGAGTTTGAAAGTGCGCAGCGGGTGCGAGAAAGAAGTCCAAATAGATTTTGGCACAAGTGAAGACGTGCAGATGGGTCTCCTCGCAATGGGATTTGAGTTGAAGAACACGTAACCAGTCAGAAGTCACCCTGATTCAACCCGTTGTTAAGGTAACTGGGAACTTGAAAAGGCGTCTTTTGACCGCTGGGATGTTGTGAACGACGCGTCGCCTGGGACAGAAGGAAGAGGGCAACCAGGGCTGGACGAGCACCGGAGGGATTATGGCTCTCGCAACGTTTTCTCTCAGCCTCATCACGCTGGCGCTTGCAAACTTGCACCTGTCGAGAGCCAGCGACCGGCATGCGGTGTACTGGAACAGCTCAAACCTACTGTAAGTGGCTTTCTGCAGCCGTAACGCAGCCCCGTCCGCGTTAACAGCAAATTAACTTGTGTTCCTCTTTGTTGCTGCGCACCTGAGCTGATAACTTGTTTACAACCCAGTGTTCATCCTCTGCAGCGACGTGTTTTCTTTTCTTTACAGCATCAAGCCCTTGAAACACCACGGAAATACAGTAAATAAGCCACGTAATTTACCAGTTTTATGATAAGACATCGTTCTATCAACCTGGTTGTCTGCAGTAGTCAACAGCTGCGCGACTAAATACTTTATTAAATACTTCTTTTCATCTAAAATAAAAATAATAATAAAATAATAATTCCGAGCCTCTAATTTATCTTTGTTTTCCAGTCATTTAAGAGTACAGTAATGCGTCTCCACAGGGGAACTGTCTCTACAATGTTCCTTGCCCTCCTTGCAGAGTGGTTACTATATAAACATTTGATTTCTATCCCACATTTAATCAATCTACTGCTTCACAATAACGACTCATTTAAGGCGTCATCTTTTCATTTACCCTGCTCTCAGCTTTGCGTTTGTCCATCATCCTGACGGCCCCCATGCAGCACACGAACATCACTCACATACACAGCTCAAAACTTCCATAAATCTGCTTTGAGCATGTACTTGACATAACATGCGTTTATGTATTCAGGCACACATACACACCTCTGAGCCTATACTTGGACTTCCTCCTACAACAGTATGGTTGCTTACCTCAGGTAAGCTCCCCCAGGCTCTGCTATCTCTGTCTACCTGTGAGCTATAAAGCCAGCTTGCTGTGGGGCAGAGATCGATGTGGATTCTACTGCCTTTGTCTTCTCATTAGGCAACAGTGAATCCATCTTTTTCACATTCTTTTATCTCCTCTCCTCACACAACCTCCCTCTTTGCCCCCCCCCCCCCCTCTCTTCCTCCTCTATCTGTGTTCCTCCTCTGTCCATTTGTATTCACCTCAGACTCCTATCGCCTCTCTCTATCTCATACTTGGTTATTTTCTTCCCTCTCTTATTTTTCTGCTGTGTCTCACTAGCCGGCCTGTCCCCCTCAATTCCCCTTTTTTCCCCTGCATTTCATTACCGCCCCCCCATCTGCTTCTGGTCCCTTATTCACCTCCCAGGCTCTCAGTTGAGAGTACACATACAGTAGATAATTAGAATTAGAAATTGTATGAACGTTATTTGATTGTATGTGGCTGTGGGATAATTCAAATATTTGAAGGTTTCCTCAAGTCAAACAGGGAGGAAACTGCTCTAAAACCTGATGGAAACAGTCAAGGTGGTGCTGCAGCACTCTCAGTTACTCATTAATGTTAATGTATGAATGGCAGAGTCACATTCAAAACTATTTTAGATTTATGACTGCAGTTAATCCCATCAGTGTGACATGAATAGCGAAGGGGTATATTAACTGAGACTTACTTCCATTTAAGCTCTGTAAAAGTGCTCAGGTTTTTGAGTGTCACAATCAGTATTAGTCCTATCTATCAATTTTAATTAGTCTTTCAGCGTGTGCTCCATCTAAAATGATTTTCACAGGATGGGTAACGTTGCTCAGTGTAGTCATTCATTACAGTGTTAGCACATTTTCTGGCTTTAAACTGGCATTTATGTGTTAAAATTACAAATATGGGCTCATATTAATGAGTCCAAAATACTGTGTGTGAGGGAGAAGCAGAGAGGGAGGGAAACAGAGAGAGAGAGAGAGAGAGAGAGAGAGAGAGACAAAGTGCAGGTGTGGGTCTACATGCCTGCGTGTGCAAAACCTCTCCTTTCACCACAGCGAGATACAAATCTCTAAAATAATGCAAAAATTGACCCAGTTTGCAGGTAGCAGACAAATCCTCAGAGGCTATGGCAAGAATACTGATGGCCATCAAGCTTTAAAAGGCCTTGGGCTCAGGGCCACTTCTCTACTACTCCGTCTACATGGAGAACCAGCTGAAGGCCTCAGTTGTTCAACGATACAGCTCCTTCTCTCATCCAGCTCTGGTTATAGAGACAAGCTCAGGAGGGAGTAACAAGAAATGAAGGCAGCGACAGAGAGCCAGAAACCAGAGGCCTTCAGGGCCAAACTCGGGTTGAGGCCTTAATGTTTTACCCTTGAGCGCAGCATTCAGTGCAGATGGTTATGGCACAGCTGCAAGAAATGGGATCACTTGGAAGCCAAGCTGTTTGTGCCAAAGCCATGAAAATGGCTTTTTATGATAACGCACAGCTAGAAACGTCTTGCTCTGGTGTATTGAAAGTCAAAAGGAGACTGTCACACTGTTGATACCCAGTAATACTGTGCTGTTTGATTCTTTGTGGTTTTTTTTAGGTAAACAAGATCAGACGATTTAGTAAAGCTTTTTCCTCTGCTGCGGACAATTTGAAACGAGATGTCTCGATTATCATAACCCTAAAGAAATAGCTCAGAGTGCTTTGATTACCGCCCAAGTCCGTCACGATCGCACTACCCCCCATTAGAAAGTGTTGCTCTCAGCTTCCGCTCTCAGCAGTGTGCCTGGCCAACTCGTTACAGATGTCCCTGCTAATGGCTGACTGAGGCAGGAAAAAACACACACGCAGGCCATTAAATCATCTCGCATCTGAGGCCATCTGCCAATTAGAGGGGGGAGATGTGGAACATCTTGAGAGCACGCGGGAGCAGCGGTGCACTGCGGTAGCCTCGCCTACCCACAAGCAGCGTCCCATGCTCATGCCACCTCCTCCCATCAGGTGTTTGGCCTCAATGGTTAGACAGGCCGCATCTCCATAATTGGGCACCCCATGCCAGCATGATCAAAACAACGGCGCAGCTTTCATTCACTCTCCCACTCCTTCCCTCAGTCACACAGTGGCTCTACTAATGCTTATAACTTAGCAGGACACCACGGCAGAAAGTCTTTGCACATGCGTGGGAAGGAATAGCAGGGAATTGAGTTTGAAAGTGTGCCACACATTTCTTTGCTAAATCGCCATTCCCTTGACTGCTCAGCAAGATGAAAGTCTTCTTTTGCTGTTTGTGGCTGATCCTCAGTGAGTTACAGCGCTGCGTGTTTCATGCTACACATTATGACCCTGAATTGGACCTGAAATGGTGTCTGTCAAGCCCCTAGACCACATGAAGAAAAAACAACCCAGTCCCCAGCACACCGTATCTGGTGCTACAAAATAAATTATCACCTTGACGAATAGCTTCCCTGAGAGTTCGAGGTACAGAGGCCTGGTGATCAATGTTGAGTCGAGGTGCCGTCTTACTCAACAGGCTCATTAACCGCCAGGTCGGCCTGTGTGGGTGTGTGCAGACCCAGATAGAGTTGGAGGTGGTTCCCTGCGGGGCAGAGGAGAACCCCGTAGGGAAACATTTGTAGATATTTAGTTGCAGTAAAAGGGAATTGTTACTGAGAAATAAAGAAAAGAGAGAGTGAGTGATGGAGAAGGTGATGGATAAGGAGAAATCTGAAAATAGAGGGAGGCAAAAAGAAGGATGCAAAGTGTGAAGAATATTACTGTAGGGAAGAGGTAGGCGTAATGGAGAGACTGTGGTGGAATGGAAGGAGAACATGCTGGAAAGGTTGAAAGTGGAGCAGTCTGTCAGGAGAAGAAAGTGAGGGAAAGATTGATTGAATTGGCCAAAAGTCAGGAAGGGTGAAAAAGAGCATGAGTTTTACCGGATATGGAAGTTAGGTTATTTGGCCGAATGTGTTGTAGCCGCTGTTTTTCCGAGGAGATGATACCCACAGGAGTTGATCCGTGCTAATGTGGACACAGGCTGGGTCATTCATGTGGACCAATGCTCAGAGACAATAGCACCCACCATCCACCTGCCCTTCTGCCCTGCGCAACACGGCGCAGGCGGAGCATACAGGAGACAAGCGGATTTGATATCTGATTACATGCACGTCCGTCTGCCTGCAGCTCCGTCTCTGGGCTGTCTCGGCAATTTTGCATACAAATGCATCTTATTCACTGGCATTCAATTTATTCTTTCACATTCATCGTACCACACAAGTGCCTCAGACAGCATTACATAGCATGTAGTTTTTTCCCAGATGGCAGTTGTTTTAAATGAGACTGTGTGAATAATATTAATTGAAAAGTGCAATTTGACCTTTTATACGTTTTTGAATCAAACATTTCTCCCCATCTCTAATAAAGAATTCCTCTCTCCAGCTTTCTAAGTTGTTTGTGATAATTTGATGCTTTATATTCTTTATCTCTCTTTGACATCCAGAAGACTAGTTTGATGAACAGGCATTTTGAATGAATAGTTAACTTGACATTATCACCTGGCTTCATTATGCTGTATATGCACTGGTGTCTCAAAGCTTGTTGGACTGCTAAGCGGTATGCTGGCCATTTTTAGCTCAGAAGAATCTGCTATGAGTCACATAAATGGATGGAGAAACACTGAAAGGATGTTTAATGGTTTGCATGGATCCAAGAGTGGTTGTGCGGATCAATACATTTATATGGTATGGGAAGGTGAATGGACCCTGGCCGAACAAAAACACAACAAGGTTGCTTTCTGAGTAGCAATCAATCTGGGTGCATCAGGTGATCAATGTCCAAATGCATTTTTAATTGGATTTCATGGTGTCAGTAAATTGCCATGAAGTATTCGGAGCCCTGCCCGGGAAGCACAGATCAAGTATTGCCTCGGAGGAGCATGCTTGAGAATTGATTATTACGGGCTTGTCAGTCACTGCTCCGGGGTCCATGCTCCATGGAGGCCTTAACTATGTCTACACTAAACAAGGCCTTGGTATAGAAGCAGCAGCCGCTTCAGACAGACAAAGGTTAAAAAAACACGAGGCTGAGCACAGATGAAAGAAAAAGTTTGAGAGCTAAACAAAATGCAGAGCAATATTCCTCCATTAGATAAGCATGACAGAAGAAGATGTATTTGACTAAGTCTGCGAGACCTAAACAACAACTGTAAGTTATTCATCCACAAGATAAAAATGAAAGTTTTTTTTTAACAGAGCATACATTTAGATTCGGTCTGCT